TATACACCATGGAATACTATGCAGCCATAGAAAAGGATGAGTTTGTGTCCTTTGTAGGGACATGGATGCAGCTGGAAACCATCATTCTCAGCAAAGTATCACAATAAGAGAAAACCAAACACCACATGTTCTCACTCATAGGTCAGAATTGAACAATGAGATCACTTGGACTCTGGAAGGGGAACATCACACACTGGGGCCTATTATGGGGAGCGCGGATGGGGGAGGGATGGCATTGGGAGTTATACCTGATGTAAATGACGAGTTGATGGGTGCTGAGGAGTTGATGGGTGCAGCACACCAACATGGCACAAGTATACATGTGTAACAAACCTGCACCTTGTGCACATGTATCCTAGAACTTAAAGTATAACAAAAAAAAAAAAAAAAGAAAAGAAAAAAGTGTTAGGTGAACTAACAACCTGCAAACACCTGGGTCGAAAGAGTATGGTCAAGATATCAAAAAAACCATCTATGTTCTGTGAGAAAAAGCTGCAAAGGAGTTTCTTTGGGAAATTAGAATATTCAACAGAACATACAGGGAGATTTAAGGAAACTACATGCATACACAGCAAAAAGCTTGCTCAGACAAGACCTGCAAAGACACTACGCTTTTGGGCCTGATTGCTAGGCTCAGTATAAGCCTGGCTAAGTATTAAGGGAAAAGCCCAGCACAGAGCCAATCTGCAAAGACTGGGAGAGATGTTTGTCTGCTAGTTTTAACTCCTTTCAAAGAAATCTATGTCAAACTATTAAACACAAGCTAAGGAACACAGACTTCAGTGATGACACACAGAAGGAGTAGTCTTTGCAAAAATAGTTTGGAAATGTCACTAAACAGTAGACTGCTATAATCTTCAATAATAAGATAAATAAAAATTAACTCTCAGGAAGGGGGGAGTATCTGATTTTCAGGGCCACCACATTATAATGTTCAAACATACAGTTTTCAACAACAAAAAGACAGCATTCAAAGACACAGGAAAGTATGGCTCATTGAAAAGAAAATAACGAAATCCATCCCTGAAGAAGCACAGACATTGGACTTACTATGCAAAGACTTTAAACAATTGTCTTACATAAGCCCAAAGAACTAAAGGAAAGCATGGACAAAGAACTAAAGGAAGAAACAGACATATGAACAAAATGAGACTATCAGTAAAGACATAGAAATTATAAAAAGGAACCAAAGATAAATTTTGGAGCTGAAAAGTACAGTATCTGAAATAAATTCACCAGAGGAGTTCAACAGTTGATCTGAACAGGGAGAAAAATCAACAAACTTGAAAAAAGAAGGGCAACTGCAATAATCAAGTCTGAGGAACAAAAGAGAACACAGCCTAAGAAACTGGTGAGAGAGCATCAAACAGACCAACATGTACATTAAGCATATTTCAGAAGGAAAAGAAAGCAGTGAAAAAAAATTGAAGAAATAATAGCCAAAGATGTCCACAATTTGATAAAAGACATAAATCTATGACTCCAAGAAACTCAACAAACTCCAAGTGGGATAAACTCAGAGACCCACACTGAGCCACGTTATAATCAAACTGTCAAAAGACAAAAGCTGAGCCAATCTGAAAAGCAATAAGAACTGACTCATCAAGAATGAGGAATCCTCAAATTTTATAACATTTAATATCTCATGAGAAACCATGGAGTCAGAAGGTAGTGGGATGACATATTTAAAGTGCTGAAAGAAAAATACTGTTACTAAAAATTCGTGTATCTGGCAAAAATAAGGGAGAAATCAAGACATTCTCAGATAAAACAAAAGCTGAGGGAGTTGATTACAATTAGACTTGCCCTGCAAGAAATGCATAAGGGAATCCTTTGGGCTGAAATGAAAGGGCA